GCAGGGACAAGATTTTTCTTTAGATGTACTGAAAGCATCACCCAGCCTTTCCATTACCTCCTCCCACCCCAATCCCATCCAATTTTACAGCACCGGGAACATATTTGCAAGTGTTTAGAAGGAAACCTGTCCCTCAATGCTGGCCCAGGACTCGCCTGGATCGTTTTATTTCCACCGTCGAGGCCCCGTTTCTGCACAGGAGGTGTAGGAGCCCACTTTTACTGAATGGGCCCCTCAGATGGGCCATGCGGGCTGGGACACATCCTCGGGCTGGACTGTGGGACACATCCCCACCGCCGCCCCGGGAAGGTGGAAGCGCCAGCCCCATGCTCACCACGCACGGGCTATTTAAATAGCTCCGGAGGGAGCCTTCGCAGCACAAGACAAGCTAGAGCAGCTCCTAAATCAGTCCTTCTTTATGCCACTCCATTCCCCAGCTCCCTCCAAACGCCAGGAAACCCAGAACGTCACATTAAATCATTTTTATCCCTTGTTCTTCCCTCTCATCCCGAGCCGTGCTGACCTCAGCTCAGCCTCGCTGAGTTGCAAGGAGCCAAATCGGAGCTGCAGAGCTGCTCCCCAAAAGCATTTCACTACCCAGAACCAGCATGGGAATAGGTGGGACGCATCCAGCACGGCGGGGGGGTGGCGTGGACCCCAGCCCACGCGGCACAGACAACTCTGGGAAGGCTGTGCAGGAGATGCAGTGCATGGAGTGATTGAAAAGCAGGTGACGGCACAGGCATTTGGAAGTTTTATGAAGATCTTTTATCGAAATCACGGTAGTTAGAGACGTGCAGCCTATTAAAGGTATCCAGCACGCCGCTGGGGCCAGGACAGAATTAGTGCCACTGTATATCTTCCAACGCTGTGTTCCTCCTGGTTTTAGGGGGCCCCAGGGTCCTGCCGGCACCACTCTTGGATGAATATTCTGGAGCTTAATAGCCCTGGCTATCAGGAGGCTTTTTTTGAGGGATTCGTCACTCCTTTGCTCCCTTTGGCGCAGGTCGGCCAGGGGAACCGGGCTCACCAGGCTCCTCACCCTCCGTTGGCATTAAAGAGGTGTCTTGTCTTCCCCTGCCCCAAAATGCCACTGCTCCAGGGGAGCAAGTGCCATCGACACCGAGCAGGTTGCTCAATAGCGAGTAAAAAGCGACTGAACCCCCAGGTAACTCCCATGGCATCTGCCCGAGATGGTATTTCCAACCCGCTTCAGATTTCCAACAAACCCAGGCAGCGACAGGCAGCGCTGCAGGCAGGCACCTTAGATGCAGGCAGCGGGCAGCAGCCACCGCACAGATTTGTCACCCACCTTCCTCCCCTCCCCAAAACTGCGAGAGAAACCTCCCTGTCCAGATCCCAGCGCCGCAATCGCAGTCGAAAGCTGGACCAGTTTGCTGTGCAGATGGGAGTGCTAGCAGGGCATTCAGCGAGAGCATCCTGCATTTCACGACGTGCTCTTCCCCCCGTAGTTTGTTCATCTTTAGCATCGCTGTGAGATCTGGCTTTCCAAAGCGGCTCAGGAAAGAGGGGGAATACAAAAAGGATACAGAGGGGAAGGTAAAGTGATGTAAAGAAGAGGAATCGTCGCCTAGGGGTTGAGAAAATACCGGGTTTAATTCTAGTCCTGTCCCTGGCAAGTTACTTCTCGGTACTGCAACTTCTCCTGCTGAAAGATGGGAAAAGGACAACTGCTGCCTTCAGTGGAACAAAACCCACAACGAGCAAATCTGTCTTTCTGTAACAGCAAACCAGTGGCTTCTGTTTCCTTTCCAAGCGCAATGCTGCCTGCCATCCCTTTACTTCTGGGATAATACAGAAATCAAACCGCCTGGCTTGGGGGAACAGGATCCGCATTTCCTTGTTCCTTTTGTGATTTCCCAAGTCGAAGAGGAGCAGTGCCCCGGCACGGCTATGATTCGCCACCTCCCGCCCCTGCCATGCAGAGGGAAGGGGAGAACGTTATTGCCCAGACTTACACAAGCATGTCCATAAACACAAAATCACAAATAAATTCAAAATAACCCGGCCTGTGCCTCTTGCAAAGGAGATGCTGGACCCTCCAGGGAGGAGGGAAATGCTCCACATCCATTTTGAGCAGGTAGAGGGGGCCACACATAGACCCCAGAATCAAAAGACCCTTGTAATATTACAATTCTCTTTATTTTTAATGATTTTAAGGGTGGGGAGGGAAAGAAGACTGCACAGCCACATGACTACATGATGGGGGAGGAAGCATCACTGCAGCAGCCAGTATTAGAGGAACAAAAATTAAACCTCCCCAATAAACCCAGGCCCAAAGAGTCTCCCCTCGCCTCGTCCATCACCTCCCAAAGGGCACAGCCGCTCTGCCCCGTACGCGCAAGCGGCTGCCTCCCTTCGCCATACCCGCAGCGGGGTCCTGCAGCCTCCCAGGGAGGACTGGTAGGAGAAGCCTTTTCCTGATGGCCGGACTGGAGGGAACGGGATGGGGAAGAGCTGAGCCCCGGGGCGGAGGGTAATGCCACGGTCCTGCCTGTTCCCCTGGCACGAGATAAAGCAGTTTATAAGGACAGAGGAGTGACCCCGGTGGGTCCCTCCAACCGTCCCCCCCACCCCGGTTCGCTCCCTTCGTGCCAGTTCTCCACCACCAGCCTGGGATGCTCCTCTCTGGGGACCGATGGGGACTCCTTTGCACGACGGCTCCCCAGCCCTCTCCTTCAGTGCACCCACACGCCCTGCCAGAACCCCCTGAGCCCCCCATCAGCCCCTGGGAGACC